AGAGAGAGAGAGAGAGAGAGAGGAAGCACAGCCCAAGCCACTTTACCGTTCGGGAGTTGAAAGCAGCCGAGAGCACAAAATTGGACGTGCATTGCATCCGTGCGTGCATCCGAGCGAACCCTTTTTTTGTTCGGGTGGAGCATGCTTGCCATCGCCCGATAAGGCCAAGGCCGACCCGATGCTCATGGAAGTCGGCTTGAAGGTCCGTTGGAATTTTTGGGATGGAGGTCCTCTTTTTCTTGATTTCCTGCAAAAAAGCCTTCCTCCGCTCCCTCTGCGAAACCACATTCACCTCCTCCCTTCGCTTTCACTCCATCTCGCCACTGTCAAAGATGTTTAAGCGCGTGGCCAAGGCCACCGGTAGAAAGGGCGACGTGGACGAGCTCAAGCTTGCCACCGGTGACGACACCGCCATTGGCGTCGACAAGCTCATCGACGAGTCCTCCAGCTCCGAAGGCGAAGACGACGATAGCGAGGATGACGAAAGTGAGGAAGAAGGCGACGAGAAAGATGGCAGCGGAGACTCTGAAGGAGAGTCCTCGGACGCAGATGCCAAATCGAAAGCCGGCTCGAAACGAAAGCGCACCGAGGCCGACGAGGCCGACGCGGCCAAGGTAGAGGGGGCCGCTGTGCAGGTCTCGATTCGCGAGGCGATCCAAGACCCGATCTACGTTCCGACCGAAGGCGAGAAGAAGCACGGCGTGCTTGCATCGCGCTGCATCGTCTGCGAGGCGGCTGTGCTCAAAACGCCCCATCTCGTCGCCGAGCATCTGGAGGGCAAGGGCCACAAGCGCCGCTTCGAGCGCTTCCAGAGCTTCGTCCAGGACCAGCTCTCGGAAGGCCAGCGCAAGAACCTCGATGCGAGAGATGCCGTCGACCAGATGGACGCCTGGAAGACTGAGCAGGATGCTCTCGACAAGCAGAAGCTCGCCGACGCCGCACCCAGCAAGAGGAAGCTCGCCAGGAAGAAGAAGGCAGCCGAGTACCGCAAGAAGAAGAAGGAGCTGGCCCTGCAGCGCAAGGTGAAGAAGAAGGATGACAAGAGGGGCAAGAAGGACGCCAAGTCCACGAGTCAGCAGGAGAAGACGGACAACACCGACGTCGGTCCGGAACAGAAGGCAGAAACTGCTAGCCCAGCGAAGAAGGCCAAGACTGCCTACGCAGACAAGAGGGCCAAGAAAAAGGCATGATGCTCACGTCCGCTCGGCACTACCTTCACAACCACTTGCATCACTATACCCGCTCGCCCGCTGCTGCCAGCTGCACCGGCATTTCCTCTCATCTCATGCTGCAACTCTGTATTCTAGCCATCTTCGCCACACGGCATCTTTCGGCCTCGAAGCCAAGCATACGACTTTTTTTCCATTTCGGCATAGGGAGCAGCGAGTCATCACTGGGAGCGAGAACAGGGGACGAGGTACGGACGCAGGGCACTTAGGTGTACCAGGTCGGGGTGGGCCAACCGTCCTTGCCGGGGCCGTGGAGGGTGAAGCGGCCGACCTCTGCGCGCTTGTGTGCGATGGGGTCGTGGAGCGAGTGCGTCCTGAGATCCCTAAAGGCGACGTCGAAGCCGTACTTGCCGGCGACGGCCCTTGCGCCGGTGAGCTCGTAGATCTGGCTGGTGACGGCGAGACCCACATCGACGGCGTTGATCTTGGCGGCGGCGACGCGCACGGCGAACTTGGCGCGCTGCTCCTCGGTGACCTGCTGGCGCGGAGCCGTGTGAAGGATGGCCGAGGCCTCGGCAAAGACGGATTCGATGAACGAGGCGGTGGCCCAGAGCTTGGCCTGCAGATCGCCGTAGCCAATCTGGATGTAGGCTTCGTCCGTGCCGCGTGCGACGGGGTTGGGCTGGTACGGCCATCCGCGCGTGTTGGCTTTGGTGTAGGCCGCAGCCCTCGCGAGTGCTCCCTCGGCGATACCCAGGTAGAACGAGGTAAAGACGAGCTGGATCTGGGGCAGGTTGAGCGTGTTGTACGCTCCGATAGGCTGGAACTGCTTGTTGACAAAGCCGAGTGCATCGGACCACGATACGACAACATTCGTGATGCTGATACCGCCACTCTGCGTACCGCGCATGCCGAGCGTGTCGACCCACTCATCGCCATACACGATACCCGCCTGCTTGCTAAGCACAGCCGCAAAGACGTGGCCACCCTCGGGCAGCGAGCCCTCGAGAATCGTCACGTCCGAAATCTTGCTTCCGGTCGAGAAGGTCTTTTTGCCATTGAACACGAGCTTGTCGGCATCGTTGGGGTCCTGCTGCACCTTGAGGTCGGCGTCGCGAGGGTTGACGGCGCCGCCGACAAAGTACTTGTTCTTGGTGATCCACTCCTCGAACCTGGTGCGCTGCTCGTCGGTTCCCACCAGTGCACCGGCCCACGACCACAGATAGTGGTAGCCGATCAGCTGGCCGAGCGAGCCATCGCCGCGTGCAATGATGCGGATCACCTCGTACGCCTCCTTCCACGTCAGACCCGCACCTCCCGCCGACTTGGGGCCAAGAATGGTCACCAGACCGGCATCCTTGAGCAGCTGCACCTGACGGTAGGGGACGACGTTGCCGCGGTCACGGATCGCCTCGTCCTCATGCAGCAGCTCGGACACTTGAGCAGCTCGCGCGAAGACTTCCTCGGGCGTCACAGGGTCCTTGTTGAACTTGGGGTACTGCACCACCTCGGGGTCGGGCTGGATGCGAGAGGCGCCCTTGACGGCAGCGGGTGCCGCGTTGGTGTCGCCCGAAGCTACGGTTGCGGTCGGAGCCATGGTGTCTATCGAAGCGGAGTTGGCGGGGGAGCTATATGAAATGAGGCGGTCGAGTACTGTTTCTCAGGGGGCAGTTTGTAGCGGTTTCGGGTCGCAGCAACGATGGGCAGACGAGGTTTGGCGCCGATATATACCCCCATGTCAAGACCTCGCAGACGGACGGGTCCAGAGGGCCAGGGGTCCTTCGCCCGGGGACATGCGCTCGGGGCAACCTGCACGCTTTGCTTGCAAGCTCTATTCATTTGCACCACGCCCACAGCCAGGGTCAATCTCAGAAGATTGCAGCGCACCATTGTTCCGCATGAGCCGCCTGGTGCAGCGTGCTAGGGCATGCCAGGGCTTGCCACGGCGGTCGTGAGCCGCGAGTTGGGCATCTGTGCCTGGACGGTGCTGGCAGAGCCCCAGTCGCGCGATCCGACACTGTTCCCGCTCTGTGACTGTGTTGATGAGATTGGCAGCGCGATGGATGGTACAATGGAGACGGGGAAGGGCGAGCATGATTCCTTAGCGTCGTATCGGATGGCGTGAGATGGCGGCGAGATCTGGGCGAGCGCACGTTTTAGCGCCGAGTCCAACGGGCGCGCGCGCATTTGGGCACTTTTCTGACAGCCCAAGCCGCGCTGACGTGCTCGCTCGCCATCCACCCTCCGCGCTCCGCAATCCGCAAGCCGCGCCCCGTCCATCAGCTCGCTTCCGCAATCACGCTCCCCACACCGCGCAATCCGACATGCTCTGCAACTCTTTGCGTATCGGGCCCCAATCCGCGTCGCTTGGGGGGCTGTCACGCGATCGCATCTGTGCGCCCCTCAGAGTAGAGTGTGCCACTGGCCCCAATGCCGTGTTGGGAGAAGAAGCCTACTGATGTCACAGCGAGCTGCTAGCGTGAAAAAGTCGACGGCAGAAACGGCCCACTGGTCGGTCGTATACTCGAGTCGGGGAAAGATAGAGAACTGCTCGCCGCTTGTGCCTGCCGAGCGACTCTTTGCTCCACTTCTCGTCTGCGCATATCCTTCTTGCACGATCAACATCCGCTTTGGTTGTAGCCACCATCTTTATCGACATGGCGGCGCTCGAGATCATCGACGCAGAGCTGGTGCGCTCGCCGTACGCGGGCACTGTGCACTCAAAGCACTCGGACACGGATCTCAACTCTCTGTACCCTATCCACACCCCGGCAGAGCGAGCAGCAGCACTGCTCCTCCTCTCACCCTCGACGCACGACGTATGCCTCGGAGCTGGGTGGATCGACACGGACGCATCTCCGCCTCTGCGACCATCCTCCTGCTCTTCCTCCTCTTCATCTCCCTCGACGCCGGGGGAGCCGGCGGAGGGCGAGGAGAGTGAGGCGCTGCTCGTGCGTTCGTGCTCGCAAGGCTGGAGTTTGTCGTTCGAGCTTTCTGCGCACCGCCTCCCCACGCCCAACGCCGACGAGGCCGTGGTGCGCAATAGCGCCGTCGGCCTCAATCCCGTAGACTGGAAATCGGTCTCGTACAACTTTGGCATCCCCGCCTTCCCCTGGATTCTCGGCCGCGATATCGCCGCTGAGATCGTCCAGCCTCCGCAGAACAATGCGGCGGGCTGGAAGGTGGGCGATCGCGTCTGGACCTGTGCTGATTCCAGACACATGCGCGCCGGAGGATACCAGAGGTTCTCGGTGCACAACACGCAGACACTCGCCAAACTGCCCGAGCACATCCCGGATCAGGAGGCGGCTACGCTCGGCACCGGGCTTATCACCGCTGCTGTAGCCTTGTTCGCGTTCTTCAAGCTGCGGTTCAGCCCCAAAGCGACATTGGAGGACCAGCTGGACTCGCTGCAGATCGGCCAAGATGAGTGGATCTTGTAAGTCACCTCCTCTTGCCATACCAGAAAGCGGACGAAGATGGCTGACGATTTTGAGTAGGATTTACGGAGGGGGGGCGGTGACGGGGTTGTATGCTGCACAGCTGGCGCGCGCGAGCGGTGTGCGCGTCGTGGCGGTAGCATCGCAGGGCAACTTTGAGTACCTTCGCTCGCTGGGCGTGAGCGTATGCGTCGACCGCCACCAGCCCGCGTCGGCGATCCTGGACAACATTTCCGCCGAGATCTCGGCGCGAGGAGGCAAGTTGCGCTATGCCATGGACTGCGTTTCGTCCTCCACGGCCGACGTATGTCTGCGCGCGCTTGCCAGCGCCGGCACGCCGGCACAGCTGATCGCACTGGCCGGAAACCCAAAGGCGACAGCGGAGGGTGTGACGGTACATCGCATCTCCTTTTCCACCACCTTCTACCATCCCGACGGCGTATTCGCCGCACACGTCCTCGAGTATCTCACGCGCCTGCTCGAGACGAAGAAGCTACAGCCGTGTCGTCCGCATGTGCTTCCCGACGGTCTCGCTGGCATCAGGTACGTCTTTCCCCTCCGAATCAATGCGAAAGGAAGGTGAGAAGCTGACGGTCTTTGCGTGTCTGCATAGGACGGGTCTGGAGATGCTCAGGGAGGGCAAGGCGCCGCGGGCCCACAAACTTGTAGTGCGCATCGACGACACGCCCGCTGCGGACGTCACGCACCTCGGAGTGCGCACGGAGCTCGGCTGGAACGGCGTGTAGCGCGTGTATCATTGTAAATCTGGTTGTGCGCTATCCTGGTCGCGCTGTTGCTGTTCTAGCGCTGCGAGTTCGGCGCCCTGGGCCGCGACCATCCACTCGAGATCAAGTTCCTGCATGAAACTGCGCATGGCCTTCTGTCTTCGATCGGCCTCGATGCGCGCCGCCTGTGTGTAGAGTCGATCGTCCTTGATGTTGAGCAGCTTCTCGTAAAAGTGCGCGATGGCCGATCCGTTGTATCCCTCTGCCTGCTCAGCGGGGGGCTTTGGGTCCATCTGCGCGTTGTTGGGCGGCACATACAACGGGCGGTTGCACTTGGCACTGTAAGCTGCGCAGCGCATCACCCCGATACTGCCAATCGAATCCAGACGGTCCGCATCCGAGACGCACCAGAACTCTTTGCACGACGAAAGCCACTCGCGCAGCGCAAGGTCGGCTGCACTCAGGTGCTCCACCGCCTGGGCCCGGCGCCGGACGTCTTTGCTCCACGATACGTTGCCCACGATCTTTTCGACAAGCGCAATTTGCTCGGGGCTGGGACGCAAGGGGAGTGACGACCAGAATGGCGCAAGCACCGAAGAGGGCGTGGTGGAGGAGGAGGTGTACTTGGCATCGGTCAGGTCGTGGAACAGCGCCCCGAGCTCGACGACAAGCATGTCGAGGGGTGGGAGCTCGGGTGAGCGCGTGAGGGCGAGTGCGAGCAGGTGCACGCGGTTGATATGGTGGTAGTCGTGCGACGGATCGTGTGCGGCAAATGCGCGCTGCACAAAGGTCTGCGCGGCCGAAACGATCTCCTGACGCTGCAAAGGCGTGAGTGGCAAGGTCCCCGACGATGCCGACACCGTGGCTGATCGGTACAGCTCCTCCGGAAGCGAATCCATCGACATGTTGCGCCTGTGAGAACTCGAGCAATGATGATGGTCTGGCTGCAAGCTGGATTGTCTTGCGCCGAGAAGAAGTGCGTGCGTGACGGCACGAGGCCGTGCGCTGATCAGCTTAACATCGTACCGCATTTTTTCCTCGCCTTTACCGATCCTCAATGCAGACTGCCACACGACGATGCCTTGCACACACGATCTGAGCAGAGAATGATGATTGCAACGGCTAGGCGAAGAGCGAGGCGTCGATACCTTTGCCGCCGAAATGCGTGATGCAGATAAGATGGTCCTCGCTGGCCGACACGATACGCGTCGTATTGAAGTCGACGTCAAAGATCCGCGCGCGATGACATCGGAAGTCTCTCAAACACGTGCCCAGCGCCGCATCCCTCGGCGGTCCGTTCTGCTCTCCCTCTGGCTCATCTTGCGTACCGTCTTGAGCTTGTGCTGAGATGTCATCTCGCATGGTGTCGGCGTTGGATGGCTCGGCGGGGGTCGATGGATGGCCGATGTGCCAGAGCTTGATCATGCGGTCGTAGCCGCCCGAGACGACGAGGTTGCGGACGGGACAATAGGCGACGGTGCGCACGAGCATGTGGTGTTCGCCGAGCACATGCGTACAGGCGCCACTGACCGTATCCCACACCCTGATCGTCTGGTCGTTCGATCCGCTCACGAGCGTGTTGCCCTTGAACACGATGCACGCCAGCCCCTTTGTGTGGCCGCTGAACGTATGCACCTTGTCGCCCGACTCGAGATCCCACAAAAACATCGAGCCCTCTCCGGACGCCGACACCACACGGTTCCCCTGCAGGTCCACCGCATTCACGGGTCCCGTGTGCGAGAACTTTCGATACGCCACCGGCGCCTGTTCGCGCGCAACTACATCGCATCGACGCCATACGCGCACCGTGGTGTCTTTCGAGCCGGTCACGATCCAGTCATTGCTGAAGACGACGTCGAGCACGGCGGATGTGTGGTCGCGCAGCACGCAGTGGAGCCGCTCGCGCTTGTCGTGCACCAGCGCCTCGGCCTCGGCCGTCTCGGTGGGCGATGGTGCAGGCGTGGCGAGGATGGCGGCAAAGTCCCATACGAACACCTGTGCGTCTGAGCTGACCGACACGAGGATCGCATCGTCGTACTGCAGCGATAGCACCGACGCTGTGTGGCCCTGCAGCACATGCTTGCACGTGCCGCTCTCGACGTCCCACACGCGGATCGTCCTGTCCCTCGAGCCCGAGACGAGCTTGCCGGCCGTGCCTGTGCCGACGCCGTCGTCCTGGCGGATGCAGTACACCGAGTCATGGTGCCCGCGCAAGAACCGCTTGCTCGGCTCAAACATCTTGGTGACTCGCGTTGTAGAGTCGACCGTCGCATCGCTGCGCGACGGCTCGTGACCGCGCAGCCAACGCTGCTCCAGCACATACCGATCGCGGTACAGCCGCGTCCAGTTGAGCGATGCCGCAAAGAACTCCTCGGCCTCGGCGACTTCGGCGAAGTTCGAGTCGAGCGAGTGGCGTCGCGAGCTGGGCGCATCGGTACCCGCGGCAGTGGAGCTTGCGCTAGGTTGGCGGGACATCGGGGTGTCTTGTGCAAAGTACGATGCGCCCGCAGCGGCTTCCTGTGCCCGCCTTGCACCCGCCGGAGTCGAAGGCGCCGGCCTTGCGGGGCTGAGGAACAGCCCGAACCTGCCCGTTGCGGCCGTGGGCGAGCGCAGCGGACTCATGGGTGCTGCCACACTGCTGGGCGAGACCGCCTCGCCTCGCCTCCTGCTGGATTCTTCGGTGCTGGCGAGGCTGAGGCCGGCCAGCGGGAACGACGGAATGTGCAGCGTCTCTCGCCAGCTCTTGAGTGCCGACAGTCTGTCGAGGTAGGGACTGGACGTTGATGCGGCTTTGCGCTGCTCCTGTAACCTACGTAGGCGTTCTGCCTCTTCGCGCGCTGCGGTGCGTCTGGCATGTGCCTCGATCCGCTTGAGCTCCGCCTGGTGCTGCAACACCAAGGGTGCATCTTCGCGAATCGCCCATCCGGGCCGACTGAAGAACAGGTTGCGCCAGACGGCCTGGTCCATTGCGATCGCACGCCAGCGCTTCGACACCCCCGCTGCCGCCAGCAAGTCCACGTGCGAATCGAGCATGAACAGGATACACAGCGCGAGCTCGGGCGGGAGACACGAGAGAAAGTCGACGCCAGTGCGACTGGCTTGTGCGGCCTTGTCGGTGGGCGAGAGCGGGTCTCCATCCACGTAGCACGCCTCATCGTCGAGGGTGAGCGTTGTTGATGCTGCTGCGAGGTCGACGCCAATGGGGTCCGGGTGGATCGAGGAAGAGCACGTGGCGTATGAACGCCCGCTCCACGAGACGCGCTCGCGCCTCAACGCACTCCTCGTCCGTGCGAGCGCAATGAGATCACCTGCATCGGAGGGGGAGCCTGGCCGTGCGGTAAAATATCCATCTGCGTCCGAGGCGGCGCTCTGCTGCGACGGCGAGCGAAACATCCCTTCCATCGGCGTAGCCACGACCAACAGCGCATCGGTGCGCGACGATGTCGAGACCTCCGTAGCACGGCGGTTGGTGCTCGCAGAAGCTGCAGCATGGGAGGTGGGTGCGGGTGTGGTCATGGCAGTGGGGCTGGGGGAGGGATCTGGGCTGGTGGCGGACAGAGGGGTGATGGAGCCACTAGTGCCCGACCGCAACAGGTTCCTGCGTCCGCCTCGGTGCAGTTCGGTCTCGTCGGCGGGTGAGCTGAGCGGCGAGGTGGCGGTGACGCTGCGAAGCGAGTCGGCAGGACTGAGCGATGCGCGGCGGTAGCAGCCAGAGGCGACCGCATCGTCGGCGATCAGCGCGGCCTCGTTGGGCGCAGGCGAGCGCAGCAGCTCCACCGCATCGTCGACGGGAGAGTCAGCGCGCGACATGGTCCAACAGCACTTTCCTGAGCAAGAAATGTCGGTTAGACTGCTGCCATGGTGCGGTGCCGACGAGAGGTATCGTACAAAGTGGGCGGGGTGGCGGGGTGGCGACCGGAAATAGCCGCTATCTGAGCCGTCGGAGTAGAGCGCTGCTGATGGGTCCAAAGCGTCGCCACTTGACGCCGTGTGCTGGTGAGATTGCGGCCCGGCCTCCAAGTTGGTGGGTCTGGCTGTTGTCGAGTGGTGGGGAGACGGTGGGAAGCAGGTGTTGCTCCGATCTCGACATGTGGGGTTGGCTTGAAATTCCCACCCACTCACCTCGTTTCCATTTCACAAAATACACCCTCATTTCCGCGACTCGCACAGAATATGCAGTCGACATTCAAGGTGACAAAAGATGCATTGCGACGACAGCGCGCACGATTACAGCAAGCGAGAGGATGGAACTACAAGATCTGTCTTGCGGCAGCATGTGAGCTTGCTTCCATGCCTCGACCCAGGCCTGCGCCTAGTGGAGCTGCGGGTGCAAAGGAGCTGGGCGACGACATCTGGGTGGTGGCCATGGCTGGCCTGGGCATGGGTGCGCCGAATCCAGCGCCGTAGGGCATCATGCGCACACCGCCGCCTGGCTGATGCGGTATGGGGTCGTGCGGGCCCAACGGCCCCAACGGACTGGTGGAGCCGTTGGAGCTGCCACCATACGGCGACCTCCTGCCGCCACTCCACCCCATACCCTCCGCCGCAGAGAGGTAGTCACCGCCGGTGGCTGGGAGGCCGTCCCTGTATCCAGTGGGACTGGTGGGCGAGAGTGCGTCGTGGTCATCTGCCATCATGATCGAGTGCATGCGGCTCGTGCGGTTGTTGGCCTGGAACCTGCTTGTTCTGCGCGCGTCGCCCTTGCCTACGCTGTCCACCCGGCGCAGCTGCCTCGGCGCGCCGGCACCGGCTCGGTCCGTGTTGTTGGACGTGGTGCGGCGCATGTTGGACCCACCTGCGTACTCGCTGCCCGGCATGGCGTCTTGATCCTGCTGCAGGAACATGGATTTCCTGTAGGTGCCTGGACCGATACTGTCGATGCGACTGCGTCGCGATGCGGCGGTGTCGTTCGAGGAGCCGAGATGCGGTTGGCCATAGCGCGAGCGTCGATTCTTGGAGGTGGCTGGTGGAGGCCCGCGTGCCAAGGACCTCTGCTGCGGATTGTGCTGCGCCAGGCTAGCGCGTCTGGGCAAGACTCCGGCGGGCGGTCCTGCGAGATAGCTGTTGCGAGCCTCGCGCATTTCGGAAGGTCCTTGTGGTGCGCCGCCGTTGATGGCGTTGTGGTCGAAGATCTGGCCGGGTGTGAATCCGGAACCGTCTGGCATGACGGACGACGCAGGGATGAGCGCGTTGGCCGAGTGGGGCGCGTCGTAGGAGTCGTCGCCCGTGGCGTGGAGTGGAGGATGCGAGCCGCTGACGTTGCGTCGGAATGCAGCGGAGGCGGCGG